CCTGCTAAGGCCTGGAATTGCTTGCTGATATCGGCCAGAGGGGTTCGGAGTGCTTCTTTATTCCCTAAGGGTCTCTGGATGACTCGTCGTTGCTGTTTGGTTATACCGCGGCCTTTGCTGGCCTGGCATGGTGCCTTACCATCCCTAAGGAATCTAGGGGGATCCTGAACTTCTTCATGGTTTCCTTGATCATTTTCCTGCCCGGTCTCATTCATCACCAGCCCTAGGGGCCCTGGAATATTCCATCGGCTTGGGGTTGGGGTGTCTGGTACCTCCAGGAACTCCGTGAGCTGGCTTGCCGCGTGGCCGTTTGCCGGGGGTGACGCGTGAATAACACCACCACCATGGAGATCGGGGGGATCCATGGTGGTTTCTCGGGGCCTAGGGGCCTCTCTGAGTTGAATGACGCGTTAAGAAGACGTGTTTTTTGTATGTGCTGATTTTGGTGTTCCTCGCGGAGCTCTATCGGTTTTTGAGGGAGACTTACCCCCTCACTATACTTTAAAATGAAATAAATCATATTTACTTATTAGAATATAATGCTGATTTCTCTTAATACTACTAGTAATACCTGTCAGGCTCCTGGCACTGACCCGGCTGGCGGAGCGTGGTTCTCAGGTCACATGATCCCGCTTCACGTGACACCTCGCTTCGCCTGACCCACATAGATATCTCTCTTTGTCTACGCCTCTGAATTTCTTCTTCTTCTCCTTCTCTCTCTTGTCGATTTTGCCTTTTTTCAGATAGAGCAGATAGCATGAATCAATGCATTTTACCTTTGCCGCAAGGTCTTGATAATACCTAAGAACTAGGGCCCATTCAGCCTATAAGCATCTTGTTGTTTTATAGGATGATTTTGACTATAGTTACACTATTTAATATCAGACCCTTTAGGATCCTGCCCATTATATATAAACTACTATAGGCAAAGCCTATATAGGCCAAGATATTCTACTTAGTAGGTTATATAGGTTGATGTTTCATCTAGAGGTTCCTTTAGATCCTATTGCTATCTACCTTACACCTAGGAATAGTGATTATGAAGTTCCATTAATCACAGTACTATTAGATAGCTGCCAGTGTTTTGCCGATTACGTCCCTGCCCTTTGTACACACCGCCCGTCGCTACTACCGATTGAATGGCTCAGTGAGGCCTTCGGACTGGCTCAGGGGGGTTGGCAACGACCGCCCAGAGCCGGAAAGTTGGTCAAACTTGGTCATTTAGAGGAAGTAAAAGTCGTAACAAGGTTTCCGTAGGTGAACCTGCGGAAGGATCATTACCGAGTGAGGGTCCCCTTTGCGGGCCCGACCTCCCACCCGTGTCTACCGTACCGTGTTGCTTCGGCGG